AATGATTACTTTAACCGGATATTCATTTTATTTATTTAGTTAATCTAATAAATTTGTTATAATTTAGAATTAATGTTGAAAATATATTTTTTTAACAAAATTTAATAATTATTTTAAATTATTTCCAATTTTTTTATGTAATTTTTCATAAATTACTTTTTGAAGAAAATTATATCTAAAATTGCCGTTATAACAATATATTTTGTTACAAAAATTAAATAATTATAAGCAAAAAAAAATATTATTTTATAATTTGATCTAAGGGAAAGAGTTTATGTAAATGTGAAATAACGAAAAAGGCTATTTGCAACAAGGTTACAATTAGATTGTAATTAAATTATGCATGTAAAAAGTGCACACTATAACAATATTAATTGCATAAAAAATATATATGGTAACGCAACAATCAATGTTATTTTTTGTTTGTTAATTAAAAACCTTTGATGTAATTGCAAAATGAGCGAAGTAAAATAAAATGTAAATATCTTAATGGGTATATAATTTAAGATTAAGATGGTGTGTGATGAAACGGTCACCCTGTCTGTATGCACGCAAGAAGGACTCTGATTGATACGCACTTGATACCGTTAGTATATGATTGGTTGTCAAGACTGGGTCAGGCTGGTTCTTCGGGGGCAACAAGTTGTTACCCATGTGTTGGGTACCACTTACCAGTAACCAGTACCACGGTACCACAGCACCACACCGCACGGAGTACCTGTCATGCATTTCTAAACCGAACGCGCGCCCAACGAAACGCAAATTCCAACAGAAAAACCACACACAAATAACCAAGTAAATAACGAGAAATATCATAACAAAAAAGTGAACTAAAAATGAAATGTGTCAGTGCCTTATTCTTCCTGCTCGTGATATGTAAGTAAAACCTTTGTACACAACACAAATCCAATCCCTACTTCATCCAAGTCGATCTACTAATGAAACAAGTTTCTGTAAATAAATATTGATTAACAGTTAATAAATAATACGAAACGGAAAACCCTCAATATCCAAAAATTCACAAAGAAAAAAACAAAATTTTTGATTTTCTTAAAAAATAATTTTTTTTTTTTAATCCTTTTACTGTTTTTAATTATTTATACTCCGCAATGTAAATTCTCTTTATTAAGAAACAGAAATTAATGTTTAGCAATATTATATATATATATATTTCTTTTTATTGCGCGAAGGTCATACAAAAAAATATTTACTCTTGTACAGTTCGTATCGTACAGATCTCTATTCGCGTAATCGTGCCGCAATTGGGTCCCATTAAAGGCTAATTTGATGAAAAAGTGAATGATGGAAGTTCAACCTAGGGATGATTAAGGGGAAAGTGGACTTGCAACACTCGGCCCCAGATTCTGATCATTACTCTGACCAAAATCGGAATTGTTTTCTAATTTAATTCTATTTATTTCTCTATTTTTTTTATTTATATTTATATATATATATATATTTATTTATCCATGTTTCTGTTTCCTTGTAGTAGCGTTGATTTCTTTAAATAATATTAGTAGAACGATTATTCTGTGGGTGAGACTAATGTGGGTCAGTGGGTCTCGTGGTGCCAAATAGTGCGGTACCGCTTATCCAATTTTTACTCATCATTCGACACACTTACCCACCCTCGAAAAAAGAAAGAAAGAAAAAACGAAAGAATAAGAAGATCTGCGAAGAAAGTTCCTCGCCTACAGAATACTTACGTATACTATATCCACATCCATATACATATTTCCCGTGTAAATACGATGACTTTGTAAATATAGTAGTTCCTTGGCGAAGCCCCGTTCTCTCCCAGTTGACCTTCTCTTAATATTCATATATATTTTTTTATTATTATACGTTTTAATATTTATATATATTTTTTTTGGGTGAGATGCAACACGAAATTAATTTACGCAACGAAATGTCAATGTAACTTTGTTAATTTTATTATTATTACGATTTTGAAAAGAAATCTTCTTCTTCTGTGGGAACTGTGGCTTCGACCGAGGAATCTTGTGTTCCCCAAGTTTACAAATGAAAAACTAACTGATTGGTTGCAGGCGGTACTTGGCGTCTTGGCCGAGCCACCTGTGTTCTGGAGTCAGATTTCGGATTTATACTCAACTGTGCTTTTAAGAAATCCGGCCTCTTCCGAATTAGAAATCTTGGGGGTGTTAAAGCACATGCTAGCCTTGGTAAAACTCTTTGCTCTTATCTATTCATATTCATGTATACATTGTTTGTTTTTTGTATTTTTTCATAATTTTAATTTTAGTTTGTTTTTTTTTTTCATTTTCATCATTTACATTTTTTTTACCCCCTCATTAACGACTCATCTTCACCACTAAACAACCACAAGAAGAAACACTCAGACGCTCATACATACCCCACACATTAATCATCGCGAGACTTGTACATAGAAGTAGCTGTTGTTATTATTTTTTTTTAATTTTATTATTCTTTTTTGTAAGGTAAACTAAAAATTTATAGTAAACATAAAAAAATACATTTGCAAAGGGTTTATCGACCCTTTACTTATGGATTTTTTCATTTATTATGTAAATATACAGGAGAATTGCGGAAGCTGCAATGCAATTCTGATCTTCAACCAAACATATACACATCGGTATTACTATATTTGTTCCAATTATCCGAAGTTCTATTTCCATTTGTTATTTGTTTACGTTCATTAGGATTTCTTCCTAATAAGCGGCTGTCCCAAATAAGCTTAGTCGACTGTGTTTCTATTTTAACGAATGTGACCTTTCCATGCAGGAAGGACCCTTAAGCCATAACCTTGCGAAGATAGTTTTTTTTTTGTTTATGAACATTATTATTAGTTTCTTGATTCTGTTACTTCTCTTAAATTAGAGTTTTAAAATATTGAAGAAGGTTACGATTAGTTGCAAGGACGTTAATAATTTTATTTGCCAGATTTTTTTATTGTAATTTTTTTCGTAATCGGCGCAATCTGATTGAAATAATTAGAAAATGTGACACATATTATTTGAATAAAATTTAAATAAATTTCAGAGTAGACTTGTGTTCACTTGAAACGTAACATTTGTGTTGCAAATGTGTATATAAATTAGAAATAATTTCGTTGAATCGTAATGTAAGTACAGTGTGTAACAACAATTTATCGCTTGATTAAACATGATACAATTAGCAAAATATAAAATTGTTAATTATAAGTAGATTTTCTAGAAATAATTAAAAATATTTTATATATTTTCAAATAAGTTAAATTTTTTCTGGACAAAATATCTGGAAAATTAGTAATTAGATTGTATCATAAAAATTTATTAAAAAATTGATAAATTTATAAAATATATAATTGTCCTATATAAAAGTAAAAATCTAAAGTAAAAGAAACAACTTGAAAATATAAAAAAATAAGCATTTTGGCTTAAAATCTATCTTTTCTGTTTATTTATTTATAAATTTTGAAAATTTTTCTCATAATTGAAATTGCTAATTTTCTAACAAGGATTAACAAATAACAGTAATCAAGAAAATTTAACAAATTTTAATTAAATTTATTAGCTATTCAAGTTGGCAAATTTTCTTGAATCTTGGCCAAAAGTAATGACATAAATACTGCATGTAGCAAATTTTAATTAATGAAACCATTTATCCAAATTTATTGCTGAAACAGAAATTGAAGTATTTCACTTTATTTTTGGTATAATAAACATGTATTAAAAAAATATCTCTTCCAAAATCCACAATTGTATTCAAGATAGACAATAAAGTTTTAATTAAGCAATTACGCTTGGAATAAAAAGAAATAAATTTCATGGTAGAACAAAGAGGGAAAAAATAAATAAAATAAACGTAAGTGAATATTCATATAAATTAGAAAGTAAATTAGATAATGCAAAAAAAAACGGACAAGAATAGAAAAAAATGTATTAAAAGTGATTAGTTTAGAGGTCACAAGGACTGAGATGGAAGAATCATCTGCTCGTCGTTGCGTAATTAGTATTTGCTTAATTAATGGAACGAAAAATATATAAAAAAACAAATTAAAAACGCGAAATTGCATCTTTTGTGCCCACAGTTATCCTTGAAACGCCAAAGTTTCTTCTGTCTTTAATGAAAGTGAAACATAAACATTCATTTAAATGAAAATTTATGAACCAAAGTAGTTAGTTAACATCATTTTCGCGTTATATAAGTAAACTTCGCGCGATTCACCAGCGCAAGAGTTAGGAAAGTTTAACATTGTATACTTTATGTATAAACCCCATGCAATGACGTTGCGTTACGTTACTTGATAACGCGTTACGCAAATGCAATTCCTTTGTTGCGGGAGTAAATCATAAAATACTTTATTATCAGTTAATATATTAGTTAAAATCAAGTGTTTTCTGAATGAGGTATTAATTACTCCGGGTTCCTAATTATTGCGTGGTTACTCTATTTCATTCTATTTTTTGGAAGAGAAAGCATTGTTGTTTCGTTACCGAATTTCATTGCGTTCTCAAGTTTCGTTATTAATGATTGTGGCCCATTTAGCTATTGCGTTGAAATTTCGAGGAATTTTTTTTTGTTGTTTCCAATTCTCACTTACTCATCACTTCTTTTTAAAATAACGATTAAATAATTAACTTGCTTTAATTTAGATAAACATGTCTAATCTCTGAGTATCTTTTTTTGTTGCTGATGTAACATAATTTTGAACTGGTCGATTTTTGAGTGTGTGATTAATATTATCGTTTTGAAAACTTGGTGATAACAAAGTTAATCAATATAGAAGTATTTATAGGCTAAAATTTCATTACTTTTTATGTATTTCTTCTTTTTCTTTATAAACGAGATCGTAATACTTGTGTTTTTTTTTGTCTGTGTTAGGGCGTTTAATAAGAACATTCCGTTTTTATTTTAATTTTATGTTTTATTTTTCTACATCAGTTTAGAAACGGTTTCGCGTTACATACATCAACAGCATGGTGATTTAATAGAATCAAACATCTGCGGTACCAGATGTACTTCCTAATCAAAAGCAATTCACAGCTAATCACGTAACAAAAGTTTGTTCAAATCAGAGATTAATTTTACATGACGCTTGCACATGCTTGCATTCATGCATTTGAAACATAAAATAATTATAATTACATTTTATAAAATTTATAATAAAACTTATTTTATTAGTGTCAGAATTTTTCAAAAATAACTAATTATAATTAATTATTTCTGTGTTTAAATAAAGCAAATATACCTGATTCGCATTTAACATTTATATTTAAAAATAATTATAAATTTTGTAAAACAAAGAAATTCTTGTAAAAGTAAAAATTAATTGTTCGTTTTTGTATAATGAGAGTAAATTAAGTGCAAAAATGAATCAGGAATGGAAATAAAAGACAGTGTACTTCTCACGCCAAATGTGCAAGTAAGAGTGACAATGCAATTTAATTTTTTTTAATTACTTAACATAAATTTACTCTTTTTTTCTATAAGATTAGTATTTTTTGTAATATTGCATTTTTTTTTAGTAAAATTTAAATCAGTTGTGCTTATATTGTGTGAACTAAGTAAATTAAGTTACTTAAACGTTAAATTAAATGAATAATTATTAAAATTACATTAGTAAATTTTACTTTAGTAAAAGTCAAATTAAATCAATCATCTCTTAGAAAATACAAATGTTCAGTAGAATTTATCTTACTTACAATTAGACTAAACAATGTTCCTAAAAAGTTATTATTTACAAAAAAAATTCTTTAGTATTTTTTTACTAAAATTTAAGTTGTTTTACTAAATTTACTAATTTTATATTTATATTTAGACAATTTTTTCTCAAAAATTAGAAATGTTATTTAACGACAACAATCGAAAAAATTGTGTTTAATAGTGTATTCATGACTTTTGTATTGGGTATGTAATAATATCAAGTCAAATTGTTCCTTTGTCTTTGCACTATTGATTTCACAATAACAACAAGTATTGAGTCTCGCTGAATTGATGGGACTTAATGGCTCGTTTATCTAGAAGTTTGGTAACAAGAAACAAGAAGCAAACACGTGAAATTGCGTTCGGGTTGTGGCATCTAAACAATATGAAAGGAAACGTCCAATTACCGATTCGTGTGATCTGTCCACGTAGTCAATCAATTATTTATACACGTTTGTCCGTATTCTAATGTTGAAATTCATAAATTATTGTTGTTTCTTAGCATGCAATCGCTTTAAGAAAGTATTCTTATGAATAAAAATAAAGCGAGTCAGAAAATAAAGTAATAAACTGAGGCAGAAGGAATGAGAGAAAAAAAAAGAAGAAAGAGAAGAAATACCAAGAGCGAGAAGCAGAAATGACGCTGGATTAGTTAACCTTGAATTATGTTTGAAATAGTTCGGATTCATTAATGGCAATTCCACACACGCTATTTCAACTTCTGCTCACCTCTTTTTTTTTCGGTTATAGTACTACGTTTTCGTGCGATCGTTTTATTTCATTTTTGTTCACACGAGTATAATTTACTGCATCCGTTTTTTTGTTGCTGTTGTTGTTGATCAGGATTCGCATTGCAGAATCGTGAGTATTTTAATTAATTAATTAATTAATTTAGTTCTTGTTGTATTTTTTTTTATATATATATATGTGTATAATTTGATTTCTTCTTTTGCTCGTCTTGCCTGGTTGTGAATAATTGTAATTAACATGTACCCATTAAAAAGAAACGACTTTTGGATTTCTCTTTTGCCTGATGCCCTTCTATCAATTTACTGATAGGCAGGTACATGGAAAATAGCTTTCCACTAATCGCTAGAACGTTTTGTACTATTGATGGTTTTGTTGAACTTAGGCTTCAGCCTAGGCGACGAGCTGGGCTTCAAGGAGTCCATCTCTAACACCGAGATCAACAGGAGGAGATCATCCCAGGGTTCCAAATTCGTGGCTCAGGCCGCTCTAGCGCAGCAAGCTAACGTAAGTCAAGTCATGTTTCGAAAGTCTTCAACAGATACAAACCAAAAAGAAAAGAAAATAATAAATAAAAAGTTACACATGTTCCGTGTCGTTCAATACAAAGAATAATGATATAAGAACGAAAAAAGAAATAAGTGTATGATTGCCCGCGAGTGTGGTTAAGGTCAATGCAATCAAGGTTGCAATCCCCGGAGTGAATGGTCGCATCATTTTCCAAAGCTTTTCTCGCAATCGCAGACCTTAAAATTATTGAAAACTGGGAAAGGTCGGCGATTAACGCAAACGATTTTGGTTTATTAACGCGAGTTTCGGTTTCCAGGCTAACAGCATCTCAGTTCGTTCGGCTAACATAGCCTCGCAGTATGATGCTAAGGCCGCGGTACCTCCTTTCAAGCCTATACCGCCAGCACCGGAACATCCAATGGTGGTTAAAGCTAATGCAACTAGGTACCATAAGAAGCCTAGTAACGCTATACCTCAACCAGCTATAGTCGGTATGGCCATCCCCGAATTCAACGTGATGCCAGTTACCAAACCACCGATGATCATGAAGAAGTCCAGCATTCAGAACATCGGACAAAACGAGTTGGCCTTGAACACCAACAGCCTGCAGGCTATACTCGCCAACGCTAACATATCAGAAAGTGCTTTAGAGTCAGTGCTAAGGCAAAAGGTGATGGCGGCTGCCACCACGACGACGACGACCACAACGCAAAGACCTACAAAGCATTCCCACACCATCAACATCGGGAAGGTCATGAATGCTCCACGTGAATACTACCCGGTGGGTTACGACAAAAACTTCGACGACAACTTTGCCTCCAGGGTGGAACTACCAGAAACCTCGTTTTATTGTGGCGATCAGAAGCACTTCCCAGGACTCTACGCCGACGAGGATCTTGGATGCATGGTGAGTGACAACATAAACAAATAGATATTACCGTTAACCGAAATTGCCGAAAGAAATCAGTCGCGTGAATGTAGGCCACGAACGAGAGAGATCACAAAAACAAAATTCCGAATAATCCTAATGGTTCTAATTATAGCCGATCCATCAAGGCTATTGCAATCAATTTTAAACGGTGAAGAAACACCGAGGAAAGCAACAAATATATTATATACGTTTTGTGGTAAATCCAAAAACGGAATTGATATTTCGGAAATGAAATCGGAACGTCTCCAAAACTATTGTAATTGGGTCATAGCTTGGGAACCTCTCATTTTCTCCGCCCAAAATTTCTACTGAAATCGCAGACGACATTTACTTATTCAATTACATTTGCCGATACTGGTTATGTATTAAAACTGGTACAGCAGATGCGAATATTTTGTAATAATAAAAGTCAAACAATCAATTGGCACAAATTATTCGGTCAAATAACTGAAATTATCATATCATAATAATTACATGTTACAACATAGTTTTCAAATCAACTTTTTTAATTTCTAATTGAAATGTTTGAATAACACTTGCATTTTTTAAAATAAAATTATAAAATAACAAGCAGAATTATAGAATCAGTGATATGAACGTTTTGACTTTCCGTTTTAGTTATTTAACTAAATATATGTATTTATGTTAGAATTAATAATTTACTTTAGTTTACTAAATAATGGTATATTTTTTGTTTCTGTTCTATTCAAAAGTTTCATCTGTTGATTGAGAAAGCTGTTGCAAAATAATAATTATTTTAATGGAATCATGTTTCATCAGTGCGAAATTCATCAAGTATAAATTTCGTGGTTGCAAAAGCAATTAGTCTTACTTTCCATGGCTTAGACTAAATTCTGGTGCAAGAAAACACAAACGTTTTCATTTTATTTTCATTTCTTTTAAAACTTACATTCAAAAACATATTTCCTTGAATCTAATTTAGTTTTTTTTAACTAGTATATAATAATTATAAAAATATTATATAGAAATAAATATTTTTAAGAAATAGTCGAAATGTAGTGTCATCGGAGAACGTAAGCAAATCGTGAGTAATAACTGTAAGATAAACTAGATATTAATAACACTTCCTTGAATTGGAAATAGTTATGTTTTCCTTATTGTAACACACACTTTCGAAATAGTTTAAACCAAATGCGCGCATTCACATTTTGAAGAAATATTATTATACTTATCGACGCTTTAAGTGAAGAAAAAAAAATATGTGTATATTCCCAGGCAATTCTCAATAATGCCATGACACGAACAATTGCTAGTAGATTTTTATACAACTTGTCAGATAAACGTCAATTAGGCTAATTGGAGGTGTACACGATAATAGCTTATTTGCAAGCAATGAATATTTCAATTGTAAACGTATTTTAAAACATCGGAGGACAAATTTATTATTCATCCTGTTTATACCCAATTTGGCCCATTTGCAGCTGTCAACGGTTGGAAAAGACCATTGCGCAACGGAAAAATCCACAACCACCAATTACAGCTACTTTGCTCATATGCATAACTGCACTTAATTTTCTTACGAAACTCTGTAGATTGATCTTTATAGGTTACAATTTCTGGATCTACCGTTATGTTTACGGTTACTGCGTGCACTTAGTTAATGCACTTTCGTGCAGCGGATTCGTTGCGTTGTGAAGATCGGAAGGACTTTTTTTTGTGTCGTCTCTTGTTAATTCTTTTCTTTTTACGCATGCAGTGATCTTGAATATTAAGTATGACTAATCAATGTAATTATCGACTTGAGGGGAATCTTAAAGGACATCTGAACGGAAACCAATTACATGATCGTAATGAATTACCAATTACAATTCAGGAATATCTTAGGAATTGCGCAACGTTTTTATGTTATGAGAGCCGTTTCCGATGGCGCTGTTAGCGAATGCAATGAGAGATGATAGATCGAACATTCACTTCCTGATCCATTAATGCTCTTGTTTATTCGATATAGGTGTTCCACGTTTGCGCCCTCACCGACGACGGTCTAATCATGAAGAGCTTCTTGTGTCCGGAATCCACGCTCTTCGATCAAACCATCCTCAAGTGCAACTGGTGGTTCTACGTTGATTGCAAGAACTCCAAGAAGCTCTACGACTCCAATATCCCGATCTCGAAGAGCTACCAGCTGATGAAGGCGCTGACGTTCTTCTCGACGTACAAAAAGGACTCGGCGCCGTCGCCCAAGCAGACGGGCAAAGACTGATTTCGCAGATTTAAGTCAGGATAACGTTTTTTTTCTTGTTTTGTTTTCATTTTTATATATATATATATATATATATATATATATATGTTCAATTTTCGAACCAAATTTGTTTTGTTGGTTTCATTTATTTAACGTTTTAATTTTCATTAAGTTTTAGTGAAACTAGCGTAGGATACTTCTAAGTCAAGGATAATAAACCAGCGGGTATTTATTTACAGTATATATAAATAAAATATATGCATACTTGTATGATATATAAATTTGGAATTTGCTCAAAACGAAAGAAGGAAAACCGTTTTAATTATTATTATTATTTTAATTATTACATTTATGTACGAAATTTTTTCTATTTATAATTTATTTATTGAAGCTCCAAAAAAAATGAAAATCTATGATTGTTATGATTGCGTGTATGGCTGTATATTTTTTTTTATAATTATAATAAATTTGTTCGATGCATTTTCACCGATTCGAATAGATGTACATTTTTCGTTTTTGTTATTTTGGTGTGTGACCTCCATCGGTAGATCAATTTCAGATCCTCCTCGATGAGACCTTGACCTCGTTCGAACTGATTCTTTAGTTTTAACCCAGTGCTGTTACATTGCTTCAGTATCTGTAGCGTAGACCGTTGTCTGTCTCTGTCATTTCCTACCGAAGCCGGATACCAACAGCTTGGATTCTTCAAGTAAGGGTCACCTGAGGAGACTGAAGGAAATTGAACCTCTTTTGTAGGCCATTAAACCCTCACTCGGACAATTTCTCTTATTTATAGCACGATTGGACTACTATCCGAATAATCGCGTAAACAAATAAAAAACAGAAATTATAAAATGAAACAAGTATAATTGTTTAAGTAGTTGTCAACATTACATTGTCTTTTCCAACGATAAACATAAAACTTATAACAATTTTGCATTTATTATAAATGTATTAATACTAAAATACGATATTTTATTCAAATGTATTTTCAATGATAAAGCAGATGAGAAAATTTAATATATTTAAAACTGAAATTGCTTCACTAGTCCAGTTATAAACAAAAATGAGATGGTACTAAAAGTGAATATGTAAATTTAAAATAAAACTAGATATTTGGTCACCAAAAATATTTACATATTCTAACTATTTACAAATTGTAAGAAACAACAACCATACTGAACTTATTTAAATGTAAAGCCTTCTGTTGATTTGTATGTAATTGTATAAATAAATAGTGATTCTTTGCAATACAATCGTTAAGAAATTTATACTTAGATGTTGTGAATATCAAAATGGAAACTTTGGTTGCATTTTCTCAAATTCGTTTGCATTTTTTTCGCAACATTTTTCTTGATACAAACATACATTGTGTAGATAGGTTGTCAAATACTATATGTCTTATATAGTTACAGATATGTTTAAAACCATGCTTTAATTACTTCAAACTTCTTTTTGTACAATTGTCTCTTTTGTTTTGACAGTAATTAAAGGTACTTTGATGATTAACCTTTCCTAACTAGAGACTAATATGTGGAACTCTATTGGCACAAAGATGGTAATGAATTAAAATTGTAACTAAAATCAGCTTAAAAATGCAAATATTAGTAGAAATTATCCAATGATATTACTTGTTACAAAAAGATACCTTGAAGAAATTCATTCATCAAAAAGATAATTGCGTACATCATTGATATGTTTGATGTATCCTTGAAAGCGCTTTAAATTTTAATAAAAGTAGAGATAGTGCTTACACAACTAAAAAAAGAAAAACCTAACTGACTCACGGAGAAGAGACTGTTTTTTCCACGATGAATGTTATGTGTGGTTGCGGTATGAATTTTAAACAGATGTCGAAGATTACCACTATTGTAAAAAAAACATACATCAACACATAAAAGAAAACAAATCAACAGATACAGAATGTACACGCAATTAGTACATAGTACTTGTGCTTCTTATATACAGGAAACATTTAAGAAATAGCGCATACATCACATGTGCTCTTTCTTAAGAGAAATCCGGTAAAGAAGAAAATTTTCTCACAACTGCATTTTCTTCGTCAAATGTCCAAATTGTGTAAATGTGTTTAAGATTTGTTTGTTTAGCAAATAATCTTCGTTTGTGTTAAATAAATTTATTTAAAAATATTTCTAAAATCGCTAGATTTGTAATTGTGAGTTTGAAATAATTGTTTTCTATGGAATATGATTGTTCTAAATAAAACTAGCATTCTTAATTATTATTAGAAACTCGAATTGCACCTATATAAAAGCATATTATGTTATGTTTTAATTCATTACTTATGCAATACCCTTCCAAGGATTATTTAATTATGCAATTTGCTGAACTGAAAGTATTGATCTTCTAGTTACGTACTTTGCCGCAAAAGCGATTTGCTTTATTTTTCCACAGCAATGCAACTTGCCGAACTCAAGTATTGATTACGAGGATGATTATGCAACTGGTTCGACTTGTTTATGTATCTTTAGCGTGTTTGTTATGCAACCGATGGAACAAAGATTTATTAGTTAATCAAATGAAATATCTTTATACTTCTAGTCTAGTTTTAAAGTTTGTTATATTTTTAATGTACGGTTTTAGTTTAAGGTAACAATTTGACCGACAAATTTGTTATATAAATGTAAGTATCGTAGTTATGCTACCAGACTAGCTCTAGTGCATCTTGCAACATCTTTATATGCAACTCAGACTGCAATTGGGTAATTATTCACGCATGTTCACAATTTATGTGCCCGGGAAATCAATAGAGCTGTCAGCGTTTCCGATACAGCAACAACAAATCCCGGCAGATAATTTATGCCATCCATTGCACTACGACGCATCGTTGTACATACTCATCTTCACGGCATCAATTCTTGCATCAAAACTCTCTCCATCTACTACCACCTGAAGATTTTTCAGTAAACGAAGGGTAGTAGTAAGAATTTAGGAAGGAGGAGAATCTCCAATTTGAACTTTGAAACGCCCGTCGTCCAATCGCTCTTTGCTGAACCAGAGCTGCGATTCGTCCTGCTAAATATTTAAAAAAGTAACCTACAAAGATGAAGATATTCATTTGCGCTCTCGTTCTGAGTCTCGCATTAATTGCGCTTGCAGTAGATGATAGAAAGTTGCAGATTGGCGTCAAGAAAAGACTTCTAAACTGCGAAACCAAGACGAAAAAGGGTGACTTCCTCCACGTCCACTACAGGGTGAGAATATTTTAAATAACAAATTCATATTTTGAAAAATATTCTAACTTTAAAAAACTTTTTTCTTTGTCTCTTAGGCTATGTATGAGAATGAAGTGGAGTTTGATAGCAGCTATACCACTAAGCCATTCACCTTCACTTTGGGCCTTGGTCAGGTCATAAAAGGCTGGGACCAAGGGCTGCTTGGGTAAATAATGCTGTTACTTAAATTGTATACTCTTGTTACATAATTGTTTTAATTATACAGGATGTGTGTTGGGGAAATAAGGAAGCTTGTGGTCCCACCTCATCTGGCATATGGCTTAAAAGGAGTCCCTCCAACAATTCCACCAGATGAGACATTGATATTCTTCATTGAACTACTCAATATAGAGGAGAGAGATGAATTGTAAATGCATTTATTATAATTATATTGTATATTAAAGCTCAAAAATAAATCACCAATACAAACACACTTAAATAGAAAATTTAAAAATAGAAAACCCCGTGCATATATATATATATTTTGTTTTTGTTAGTTAATATCAAAAGCTTGAGAAGTTTATGCATTGTTTGTGAAGTTATAGACTGGGTACATCGGGTTATAATTGGAATTACACATACGGGTATAATCGTTGTCCGCTGAGTCTTTGATAGTAGTTGTCCCAAATCTAGTTGCTTCAAACGTAGGAACTGGAAATTACGAATCGTTTAATTATTAATTTCAAATTGATATGTTACGTTGATTTACCGTTGGGACCAAGACTTCCTGGGACGGCCCAACCAATTGCACTAGAGTTGTCTTGTGGTACATCAGCTGGTGGGGCTGTTGGGATAGATGGTACTCCATTCATTGCACCTATTGGAATAGTGCCAATAGTCAAAGGCACTTTACTTAATAAATTGCTATGCATTCCTGATACATTAGCCTCAATCTAAAACAAGACATGGTTGTAAAATAGTAATACAAAAGCTATCAATATATATACAATTAATTCATAGTCAAGATCTATGATAGAACAGTTGAGTAGATTTGAGGATGGCAAAGATGGAATCACCATTGATTGATTCCATGTTTTAGATTCATGTCCTGGTACTGGACCTACTCGAACAGTCTCAAGCACAATTGTGTTTTTTTTAGTCTCTCTTCGTGGTCTCTGAGAATGGTAAGTTACCACCTTTTGGAAGGTGAAACTGACACTGTCAACTTCAACATTTGATATATTGTCCACCTCTGCTAAAATTGACATAGTTTGACCAGGTACATAGCCTCGGCATGGCAACTTCACAATACATGTCAGTGGACCGGATTTACACCAGCAGCAACAGAAATACTTCTCCATAAAGACACTATGAGGTTCCTGAAACAATTATAACCATGTTAATTATTAAGATTTCATACAATTTGTATTTAATAAGAATGAAAATATAATAAGAAAATTACCCTCAGACTGGCTACTTGATTTAAATCAACTGGCGAGAGAACAGTAAATGCAAGCTTCGACTCTTGGTCAAATTTCCATGGCCTGTCAAGAACTACTTTTATTGTGTACCTAGAATTTGAATATTATTAAAAGAAAATAAAGTAATTAACAGAAATTTATACCTGACATGTCCAAATTCACCTTCAAAAGATGAAGGTAAGTTTGGTGGTAAGATGCAAGTGAATGGGTATTCATGTTGACCAGCGGGAAGCTCAATATTATTACCACTTGGCCCACCTACTAAAAAATACTGTATTTTAAAATACTCCTCACTGCCGGACAAATCAATCCTTTCATTCTCTGTTTGATTCTCATTGTTGGTATGAGATTCTTCGACAGAGAATGATGTGTTGGCCTCTCCCTTGATCTTGATATAAATGCCTGCAAAATATTTGAAGATGTGTCAAAATGCACTTGGTCATAAGCTATTTATAATTACCTCTGACTTTCTTAGGTGAATCAAAGGTAAGCACTACTGAGCCATTTATTGTTTGGCCAGCATAATAGGTGCTGTGCGGATTGTCTAATTTAATTTCGCACCCTGTGAGAACCATCTTAGCGGCTTTCTGACTAACAATTGAGCAGGAAAAAAGAGGCCGAAACAAAATTACATCATATGTTCAGGAATGTGAACAACTCCAAGCGCACGATCAGTTAACCTATAGGATTATTGGATGTTCGTTGCGCATCTGTTTGTCTGGTCGACTATACTTTTTAAATTTTGTTGCCAAAGTTGCAGATTATATTTGGATGGTTTAAATAAAAAATATTTGTATAAGCTAAGATATCATATCTAGTATTTTTTCAGAACTTTTCAGGATTTGAATTAGTTGTAGAACATTTGAACCAATCAATGATGTTTTATTGTTAAAGCCATGGGTTAAAGCGCCATCTGCTGTTGACGTTTGTGTGGTACAGTGTCGATAGTTGCGGAAGGTTAAGGTATTTATAAATAAAATGCATTGAGATTAAGAAGAAGTGGGTTTGATAAGAAAGGTGTAGACAATGGCAACAATGAAGTCGGATTTGGAGCTGTTCTCGGTGGACGATAACTCTACCTTCTTGGAGAGCAGCTTGATTGAAGACAGTGGTAACTTCGATGAGTGGCTGGACAAGAATGGGGTACAGTACATAATTAAGAATGAATGCCTTAATCCGAACATGATCAGCAATGAGCTGGACCCACTTATGAACCAGATCAATACAAATGATACACTGGATGGCTTCAGTGATTCGGAATCCAATTTGATGAAGGGGTTTGAAGCGAGTACCAGGCAACTGCATTTCAAGACATTGACATGTAAGAGCAAGTATTTGGAAAGCACATTACCAGGGGGTATGAATGTTGAATTCCAGCTAGATGATAGCAAAATTCTTATTTTGATAACCAATAACACAAATGATGTTATACCATTCCCTGAAATGTACATTTCATTGTCAGACCTTGGAGGACAGATCACTATACCAAAACAGAAAGTTCCAGTCATTTCCTTAGAAAGGGTAGTTTTAGCAGAAAATTTAGATGCTTACATGCCATGCCTGAATTTAGAAACCAATCTGAGATTGTACATTTGTCCAAAACCTGACTGTCCTTTAGTTTACACTAGATTTGGAGCAGCTAAATTACATACTTTCATGCAAATTGGCCATAAGCCCTTCAAGTGTGATTACCCTAATTGCACATGGGCATTCTACAATTCGTTTAAACTCCGTAGGCACCAGGAGAGTCACACCAATAGCAAAGATTTTGTTTGCATTGTGGACAATTGTGGCCGGAAATTCACAAACATATACAATTTAAATATACACATAAAGAATCACCATGAGAAGCCAGCAAATCTTCCATGCCATGTTGCTGGTTGTAACCAGAAATTCCAAACAGCGCGTTTGAGGGATAAGCATTTTAAGACGCATGACAGCAAGGAAGCGCCTTTCCAATGTCCCCATAAGAACTGTAACAGGTCCTTCTTCCTGATGACTGGACTCACATCACATGCTAGAATACATACACACAGGGAATCTGAATTGAAATGTGATTACCCTAATTGTGGTAAAGTATTTGAGCAGCCTTGCAGGCTAAAAGAACATTCCAGACAACACACTGGATTCAGACCATACATATGTACTTATGATCAATGTACCTGGTCTTTCACTACGGCTAGTAAACTTAAACGACACCAAAGCACCCACACTAAAGAACGGAAATTCCATTGCACTATAGGCACGTGCAACAAGTCGTTCCTTAGATCTGAACATTTGAAGGAACATACTCTGACGCATATTGGACCTCGATCTTTCAACTGCGAAGGTAATTACTTTCAATATTAATTATCTACAGTCAATAATTGCAAATTTTTAACACGTAATTTCAGAATATTTATTTTATTTATTGCCTCAATCAATTGGTAGTTATCATATTCCCTGAAGGATGTTATTTACATGAGTATGAATCAGACATGTGAACATTGCTGGCAAGGACGTGCCACCAGTAGGGTTTCTCCTGAAGTATTCAATTTATTATGTACGGCAGGGCAGAACATTCAAAGAATCAAAATTAGTAGTAGGTTTAAACCTTTTGCGCTTTTGTAAATATTGAAATTGTAACGTTTTAAAAATGTGCAATTATAATATGATTTTACTAAAAGTTTACTCACGTCTGTTCTCTTTTTAGTTTGCTCTGCAAGTTTCTTTGGCAAATCATCACTCTATCTTCATGTGAAGAAACATCACCCAGAGCAGAATCAAGCTTCCGCTAAAGCGAAATCCGTTGAGCAAGAACCTGAGACACCTACACCGGAGATGCTTCTTGAGCAAGCTATCCAAAGCTTAGGAGTTCCATCTGATATGATGTTGGGAACAGGACTTCTCCCAGAGGAACCACTCGTACTTCTGGAGAACGATAACTTCTCCACGGTGAATCTACGGGATCTGGAATAGCATAAACTGAATTCCGGTCCTTTCCCTTCTTAATGCCATTTTTTAATTGTGATTTCTTATTCTAAAGATTCTATATATACACATATATGATATATTTCTATTAAATATAAGTTTTGGCAGCGTTCTCATCGCAGTGTTTCCCAAAAGCGATTTGTACGCTGAGCATAATTTGTGAAACAACTCCCCTTTACCCAAGTGAGATAAATGTACTTTAAGCGGTCACCGAATCTTAATGTTTAACTATATGTTTTTGTTGGTTTGTCTGTTTCGTTCTGTTTTCTTAGTCGTTAGCTAATGCATTCCAATGTTGCCATTAATAATAATGTTAATTAGTGTAAATATATATATTCAAACGAAAAATATATATTACGTGTCTTGAAAATATATTCTAATGAATCTAATTCACTTATATGTAAATATGTGTATACCATATATTTTAATGATTATATTTATGATACTGATGTGGTTAGTCTTGATTGTCCGTTTATAGAATTATGTAGGACTTTTGTCCTTCCAATTAGAATCCTTCGCGCAAAATTAACTGTCAAAGTGTGCTTTCGATGTAATTGTACTTAAAGGTGCGGTATTTCCATCTTAGGGTTTAACTTGAACTACAAAAATTTATCATAGAAATCAGTATGTTTTCGTTCAACCTTAACCCGTAGATGAATATACTCAGCACCATTTACTGGAAAGTATAATTTAATTAATATTAATGAAAACATATTTATTTCAAAAATAAAATGATTAACATATATGTCACTTCAAAATTATTTTCTCCAATTACACTAATATATGAGATTTTACAACCTTATAAAATAGTTTAATTTAATAAATTAAACAACCAACAAGAATTTTTATGTATATTCATACGAATTGATAAAACGATTATATAGTTTCAATAAGCATCTAGTCATTATTTAAAATTCCTGGTTTTCACGGAACATCTATTAACTACATAGTTTGGGAAACCCTGTTCTACACATACCTATCCTTCGGAGGGTTCTTTCAAATTTTTAAGTACAAAATAGGAATCGCGGACCAAAACGTTTGAGAAACGCTGCTTTATATAATCTGTTTTGGTAATAATTTAAGTAGTTTCCATGAGATGGCATAGTGGGTGTTTGTTCGTAATATTTCTGATTTTAAATTCGTGGATCAACCGAAGTATGAAGGAATTGATTTGGTTCTACATATTCATGTGCATAAAATTACGTATCATCGTTATGTTAAAGTACAAGGTGACTGGTAATTAATGAATTCTGACTGGACCTAATCAACATCATTAAATATTTAAATTACAACTGATATCGATGAATAATAAAAGAGAAAACCGCATGTCTTTAGCGACAGTGGAGGTCCAAGATCAGGTAGGAAAGGTATTAACGAAGGAGAGCTGCATTTAAAGCTTGTCCCCAGAAAGTGGAATATCCAGAAAGACGTAAATTTCATATTTGAAGATCAAATTATGTGTGTTTATAGTGATTGTTGATTGATGTCTGTAAGAGATCTGAAAACGAAAGCATTTAAGGTGATTTGTAACCGAAGCCGGATATTAAATATCATCGCCGTTGTGTGACTGAAAGTAAAACAAACAGTAGGAAAAAAGTGCAGCGATTACGTGAAAGCAAAAATGGGGCCACCGGGGATATGGGTCAGAGATTCATTGGACCCATCACGTCTCCTCCGCTTCTCTGCATTTCTTTATTTTCTTTTCTTTTTTTATAACTAATCATATTTGCCCGTGAAAAAAAAACAGTGCACTTATAAGGCACACATAATGGGTTATATAACGAGCACACGCGCGACCTTGTTATGTAAGGTGGATGTCGGTTTTCGAACATGAGCGGCGATCTTGGGATTGAGCACGTTATCAGTGCAGCGGAAGGCGGGATTTGCATTACCGATGTGCATTATATACTTTGATGGACTGGTGAGGTAAAGCCTCCGGCATTGGTTGATATCTGGACTCAAAGCGGATCAACTGACCCATTGACTTTGTTTTCCAACGTTACGATGATCAATTGTTATCAATGATAAACGGCGTCCTAATCAACGGACGGGGGCCATTAGTTACTGGAACAAAGAAACGCATTGAATGGACATTACGAAATTTCGACTAATGTGCGTTTCTTGTCCATCCGGTGTTTTCCTTTAGTCGCGCACTTTTTGTTTATACTCCGTTCTATTACATTCTAGAGCGTTCCCAGTTTTGCCTGTTGGTTTGTTTTATTTATTTTTTTTCCTTCCTTCGATTATTGGGCCAAAGTTCTTCGACATCAGACCGGAGGATCAGCAAATATTGAATACCCCAAAGTCCGCGACCTGCGGCTTTTCTTCTTCTTCTTCATTTTTTTTCTCTGATCGGACCCGAACCTCGTGCACACACGCATATGTTCTCCTCTCCTTTCCTCTTCAACCTGTTAGTCATTACCGTGACCTTCTTAAGCGGTCCCAGGGTCACGCCGTCTAATAAGATTCCTCCTACTTACGTCACTTCGATTTTTCGATCTCTTCGCGCGCGCTCTCAGGACAATCCCGAGATTTCGACCATTAGCCTTGGAATTAGTAAAAATTGGATTTACATTTTATCTTTATTGTTTTTTTTTACTTGATTTGATTATTATTTTTTTTACTTCTTCTTACATGTAATTTATGCCGGTGGTCCTGAGGTTCCTATTAATTCAGATATAAAAATTGAGTCGTAAATTTCGACATTCATTATTTGACATAAAAATTGTACTATGAAAATAACTCTTAAAATTTTTAAATTTAAATACAACTTTTAATATTAGCTGACACTATGTACTTGAAATGATATGCTTCTATAGATTAAGTTGACAAGCTTGTAAGTATCGCATCAGAAGATAAATATAACAAAACTGTTATATTTATAAAGAATCAGTTGGATTTTGTACGTTTTATTCAGTAATAGTTATAAATATTAATAAAGCCTTTAATGAAATTATTAATACCTTACAATTGTTGCATAATGACTGATTTTTGAATAATTTTTGAAACTTTATGAGAGCAGTAAAGATTTATCATTTGATTATATATAATTCTGCAGCAAAGAGTGTAGTAAATACTGAACTTACCGTGAATACCAGAGAACTTGCTATGCCCATTTTTGGGTCGCTTTTTAAGGCGTTCAGGAATACCGCACATTCGGGAGAGAATTTCATACATCGCACCTTTTTGTTCATTTCTTCTCTTGAGCCAGGAAATAAATTCGGGTCTTAATTCGCGAGTCGTGTAAAAAAAATATACACATATAATGTGTGCTGTATGATCATAATGAGTAAACGTAAGCGATTCAAGGAACGCACATAAATTCACGTTTGCAGCAAGTACATTTTGTGAAGCGCACGTCTCTTGTGAAAACAAAAACAAATACAAAACCCGTCTTCCAGGGAGCAGGAATAAAAAAAAACGAACGATGAAGAACATGGGAAAAGTGAATTTTAACAAAAGTTACAAATAAACATTTTTATTTTATGATGCTCACACATTACGATATAAGAATTCATTCAATTCAATTAAGAAAAATAATTAATTAATTCTTATTTTCAAGTTTTTTACTGTAATTACTCTAAAAAAGTAAGAATTTTAAAATAAAAATCATGTTAATTGTTGTAAAACAGATCAGTTGAGCAATCAATATTATATGAAGACTTTCTATTCAATCAGGATAGGAATCCTTCAACAAAAATTCAATGATTTTAAAAGGCTCGGATAAGAGAAAAAAATCGAGAACAGACATATCATTGTCTGTGTCTTAACAAAAAAAATGTTGGTCCAGACTGGCAAAAAAATTGTCTTAGGCAATCATGTAGCGATGATCATGTAGCCTTGTGCATTGCCATTTGCTCTGATGGTAATCTATGAATGGAATTAGAATTTTTGATTGTGCAAATGAGTCACAAATGTGAAGTGCACAAAAAATAATATATATGTTTAGCAGGTTTTGCGAAAAAAATAAAATAAAAAAATAAACATAGACGTGTCTGCATTAATTTAATGGTTGTTAGCCGAGGATTCAGGTATGTCAGGTTCAAACTTAGGAAGCAAACGTGGTATGCAAATTATAATTTATGATTTAGAAAAAAAAGCATACTCAGAGGAAAATAAATTAGAAATTCAATTCTAATAACTTTGAATAAATCGTTTGCAATTTTACGTTATTTTTTTTTCTGGTTTTTTTTTTGGTTAATTCAATAATAACTTTGGATGGATAATCAGTAATAATGTTTGTTTGTGAAAGTAAAAACGCAGATTCATTCATTGAAAAGTATAGGCATTTTCGTTTAACGTAACTAAACATTTTGCAAATCAATAAAAAAAAACGATTTCTTCAAATATATTCAATAAAACCTGCTTTTTTTTTCTAAAAAAATAATAGAAATTTAATTGATAAATGATTATAAAGTCACGTATAGAGAAAGCAAACAAAAAACATTCATTCACTAAAAAGTAATAGGTAAAAAGGCAAAAAATAGTATTAATTAATTGAAGAAGAAGTAATTACTTTTCAAAATATAATAAATGACAATGATTAAAATGAATAATTTACTAGATTTTTTAGTGTATATAGTCAAAAATAAATAAAAACTGATTAATTTTTGGTTGGTATGAATTATTACCATTTAGAAAATTAATTAATTAAAGAAAATATAATGAATTTACAAACATGTTTATAATAGTAAATTTGTACAATATTTTGTCTGATAAATATCAATTTAATTGGAGGATTTGGATTAAGTATTTGAAATAGCAGCTGTAATCTGAAGTTAATTACATAATATGTAATATGAACAACACGAAAATAAATAAACTAATGAGAATTAAATTATATCAATTATTTCTAAGAAATCATTTATATTACAAATTATTTAGAAATATGTAATATACTTAATTATAACTGGTTTAATTATAAGCTTTAAAACGATTTTTAATGATATAGATTATTAATAAATATGTTATGATTGTTTGAATGAATCATCTAATAACATAGGTATGGTATTTTGATGTTAGCATCGTCTACGTTCGCCTTTGTCCTTCTCTACCGATTTATTAATGTATTGTTCAAGAGACGAATTTTGACCAGCTCAACCTGTAGACTATTGGACAATAGTACTTCAAGGAAGGGCGTATTTAGTCTGCTGTACGAGCTTTCAAGGACTCCCGTCGGAAAGCCATGGAATTCTTTACATAGTACAGATACATGAAAAAAAACTTTTGTTTCATAAAGATTTTAAATTTTTGTAATTGTGAAAACACTTTTCTTTACAATTATTACGCTTATTTCAATTAAATTTATTGAAAACTACAACAAAAAAAACACAATGTCTTTAAAATTATAAAGTTGACAAATTAAAAACTTTCAATTTACTATTGTTGCCTTCATACACTTTTATTTATAAATATAATTATAAGTAAAATTCAGGTTTTAAATTGTATACATTTTACAATTATTGTTTTTAAAGCAATTAGCTTATTTATTTTTAATCAGAACTAGAAGTCAAAACATAGTATTTTGAACCCTCCTTCAATCCTTTTATACCTATAATTATACCATTCTCTCTTTTTCTCAACATCGCTACTTTTTTTCACAATATTTATGAATTAATTGTATATATTTATCTTGTCCATAATATTAAAAATAATCTTCTCGAGAGGAAAAACCAAGGTCAATAGCCCTTTGGCCAGATGTTATTTATTTAGAATTACAGTGTTTTTTTTGGGTTTATAATTTTTATGTTTTGTTATATTTTTGCACAATGAATTATTATAATTATTGTTATTACACATCCTAGAATGAACATCAATTTATTGTAAAAAATATTTCTTTTATATTTACAGTCCATTCCGCTTATTCGGGACAAATCCTAAAGAATGGAAACAAAAGCGAGCAATCGTGATAAGTATACTTTGTCCCGATTTAGCGGAATTAATAGAAAAACATTGTATAAATTTATGAATTAATTGTATATATTTATCTTGTCCGTAATATTAAAAATAATCTTCTCGAGAGGAAAAACCAAGGTCAATAGCCCTTTGGCCAGATGTTATTTATTTAGAATTACAGTGTTTTTTTTTGGGTTTATAATTTTTATGTTTTGTTATATTTTTGCACAATGAATTATTATAATTATTGTTATTACACATCCTTAGAATTAGTCCATTCCACTTAATCAGGACAACCGCTTATTCGGGACAAATCCTAAAGAATGGAAACAAAAGCGAGCAATCGTGATAAGTATACTTTGTCCCGATTTAGCGGAATTAATAGAAAAACATTGACTTTATAATTAAATTATTTCTAATGAAAACTGAAACTTAAATATTATATTTAGAAATATCACACATTTTTTTAAAGAGACCTATTTTTTGTTATTGCAATAATTTCTTACAGTAATTAGCTTTTTTTCTAGTTATGATCAGGACTAATATATTTTTTCTCAAATACTTCTATATGATATGATATGTTATTTGTAGTCAAATTCCAATGGATAAATAATAATTTTGGTATAAATAATGCATTTGTTTTGTTCGATAAGTCTAGAGCTTTAATTGGTCTGGTCTCTCTGGCGAATCATAAATTTCGATCGAATTTAATTAACACACACATATACACACGCGCTCTCCGAAGAATTATTAATATTGAAGACCTTCTGTTTCTAATTTTGCAATAAATCTTGTAACCTTGCTTCGCATATTCTGGCCATTATTTCACAATACTTTACAAGTTTAACCCTCAAACCAATTTTATATACACACATCTATATATATATAATATACATAAAGCTTTTTTTTTGTCCGGTCTCTCCGTTCAGATTAGGAATTGACTTAACCTAGCCCAACTTATTATGCCATTTTTTTTCATCTTGTTTCTGTTGTTTCTCTCGCGCCGCCTTCCATAAATAAAAATGTAACATTGGACTTGAAATTGAAGGCGACTCGTGAAACTGGCTCTTAACATTCCGAGACCAGAACTCTCTCACACACTCACGCAGGTAGCCACAAAACACACCTTTCAAAGCGCGGACATCAGTTCAAAAAATTGCGCAACTAGGAAACCCTTGTAAAATTAGGTCATATGAGATTACCGGGACAACGATTTCATGTTGCAGGGTTTAGGTTCTGAACCGTTCCATATAATTGTATATCATCAGGATAATTTGGTTAAAAATTAGGTCAAGATGCACTATCATTAGAGTAATACCTATGGTTTATATAACCAAAAGCATCGTTATCAAATCTTTTGATAAATATATAATTAAGGAATCTATATAATTTTTAACACAGTTGTTTAAACTATTGTCAATGTTATATAATTTCGTTTTTTTTAAATACAATTGTTATACAAAGTGAAACAAGAGCATAGATTGAGCAGACAGTGAGACTAAAATCCGCGGCCCTTGAAAACGCCATGATTTATTCAAATCAAGGTCATCCACATAATTCCAATCAATTACGAGAACGTAGCTCCGAAATCGTTTTCGATTATTATATATGTAGTCGGATTACTCATATGTTTTAGATCTAACTATAGGTGATTCAATTTACTAGACTTAATATTGTATAATAATGATTCGTTAAATTCAAGGTCAATTCGTTAAAATTGATTTCGATTGGTAAATTTTGTATACAAACAATAATTTGTATTTGTTACTAATCCATATTTTCAAATTATCATAGTACACACAAAAGTATATGCAATTCTGTATTATTTACAAAATGTTTATATTGATCATCAGCAAAAAAAATTAGAGATCAGAAGAGATTAAGAATTCAATTATTTTAAGTGCTCGAATGTTACCATTGGTTAAAGTCAAGGTCATCAGAGATCCACGCTTCTAAAGCGATTATTGAAACGTAGGAAAAGTTTCTATTTCAAAGAAAAAAAGTGCATTTAAATAAAGATGTCCAATTAATTTCTATGAAAGTAAATTAAAATGTACTTTTTTTACTATATTTTTATATTATTGAAGGTGGTGTGAAATAAAAAGAAATAGTTCGCCCAAGGAGCAGTTTATATAATAAAATACAAAATAATATATTCAGTCTCAAAACATATAAATAACATTGGGAGACTACAAGTTAAAAATATAAATAACTAATTTATTTTTTACACAAAAAAAAATAAAATTCAATTCACAAAATGGAAAATATATACAAGTGCATGAGAGTAATCATAACATAATAACGACAATAAAACGTAAAATTAAGGAGCAAAAAAATAATAAAATAAATCAAGTCAATAATTAGTAATTACATGTGCTGGTGATGTTGGGCTCCGCGTAGCGCCCTTCGTAATTGTGAATTTTTCTGCGAGAACAACTAGTCAAATAGAAGAACAAAATGAAGAGAGAGAAGAGAAATGAGAGTAGAAAATATAAAAGACTCGACCAAGACAAACTTAATAGTACTAATAATAAAAATAATAATAATGGAATTAAAATCTTAAATGTTAAATTATAATTAGTAGAATACAAAACAAAAAAAATATTAATACAAAATAATAAAACGATTGTGTGTATGTATGTATGTGTTTGCGTGAGTTGCGTTTACGAATCTTCGAGGTGTACTATATATTTTTTTTTGTTCCTGGATGATGTTTTTCCCCGAAGACGTGTTTACGGGGTGAATAGAAGCCTCCCTTAAATGATAAAACTTAAAAAAAAACAACAAAAATCGTACCCTAAATATTGAAACAATAATATTAATAATATTGTGTATTATTAAGAATTTAAAATATTTAAAAGAGAAAACAAACAAACAAAATATATATCAAATATAAAATTATTCAAATAAAGATATAAAAGAATATAAGAGCAATAAGGTCGATTTTCGTTGTTCTAGTTTACTTGTTCCTTGGGGTTAGCTTAAGCTTGAAGCAGTCTGGTGGTACGGCCACGCATCCCGGCCGAAGCTTTAGGTCACAGGCTGGTTCGATGTCGTATTCTTGAAAGAGTGTAGTCAGAAGGATGAAGCTGAAGCTCTGAACGAGCCTCTGTCCGATACATGTTCTTTTGCCGGTGCTGAAAGGGATGAAATGTGCTGGCTTGACGACGTTCCCGTTTGGAGACAAGAATCGTTCAGGCTTGAACTTCTCCGGTTCGTCCCAATAATCCTCGCCCACGTTTAATTCGTAGTTGTTGACAAAGATGACCGTGCCCTTTTCAATGGTGTAGCCATCGATCTCTGTGTTTAAGGTCGCAACGTGCGGGACGATGGGCGAGCTCGCCGTCCTTAAGGTCTCCCAGATGGTGGCCTCAGTGTACGGCATCGACGCCTTATCGAACAGTGTCGGTAATCGCTTACCACCAGTTACAGACTCGACCTCCTGTTGTATTCTCTTGACAACCTCCTTGTGCTTCACGACGCAAGCGAGCGTAATCATGACAAGGTTACCGATAGCCGAGTGTCCACCCAAGAAATCCTCCAGCTCGAAGATGATATGCTGCCAGTTCAGGTTGGGATCCTCGTCCAAGTGCATGAGAAGAGCATCGGTGAAGTCGCGTGGCGGTAGGTTATGATCCAAAGACAGCCTATGCTCATCGATGATGCGAGCCAGAATAAACTTCCTGATATCCGAAGCCCAAGAGGAAAGCTTCTCCATATGTCCTTTGTAAATTGGCAACAACCACGGCAAGAAATCCACAGCGTATCCTTGGTTGATTTCCCAGAAGATCTCGTCGAAGGTGCGAACCACCTTCTTGAAATCGCTGTCGTCGTAGTTGAAGCTCGTCGAGCACATATACTGCGTAAACATGTTAGCGCATGCAGCCAAAATCATCGGTTTCAGCTCGATCGGTTGCGAGAAGTCCTTCTTTTTCAGCTCAACCAGAAAAACGGAGACTTCTTTGCAGCCGACCGCATTGACATGGTCATACTGCAAAGAGGTAAACCTTGGGGAGCAGTACGTTCTCGCGATGCTGCGCCTCGTCTTCTGCAATGATGACCAATCGCACAAAGCCAGTGCTGTAACAGAACAAGAAAAGAACATCGTAAAAGTGGAATCGATAACAAGAAAAGGAAAGAAAAGCAACAGCATATCAACAAACAACAACAACAACAACAAAAACCAGAGAGGCTGTCTTCATTGTAAACTAGTTCCTTATTGCTTATTTTATACACGCCAAGTCAAACAGGCTTTAGATGAACCGTTTTTTATACTATTTATTTTATTTACTTTTTCGCTTCAACAGTGAAAGGATAATTTTGGGTGGTGGCGCGTCTTTTCTTTTTTTTTTATTCTTTTGCCTTCGGTCGAGGAGGTCCAAAAATAAAAATTTAAATAAAATGAATCGAGAAACCGCAGGGAAGATATTTTTATATATAGAGAGAGAGATGCATATATATGTATGTGGATACATAAAGATATATAAGCGAGTTGTGTGTCTGGCCGTGTGTGTGTGCGGGTAACCACCGCGGATTTTGCTAACGGTGATTTGTCCTTGGCCTCTATCACTTCGTCTCTTTTTTTCACTTTGATTTCTCCCATGTTTCCAGCCTCTTTTCTTGTGCGCCTTCTTCGGCTCTCGCGGAGAAGACGCACTTTCGAGATTCATCTAAGCAACTTCTTAGATGTTGTGCCCCGACCCCGAGAGACTTCAAACCAGTTTTTCGATGATTTACATACACCGATATTTGTCATTATACATTAGATATATATATATGTGGATATGTATATATACATATATATATATATGTATGCAAATATATGAGTGCGAGTTTATTTTTTGATTGTCGTTTATTTATTCATTTTGTGGTTGGTTTCTAAGCAGCAGCCATCACGAATATTGCAGAAAATAAACAAAGGCAATGAAAATTTACGATAACGGGCTGCGCATCCCACACACGTCGATTATATAACGATCTCAGGACGAGAACTAGTTTCGTTTTGATTTTAGTTTAATGGCTAAGAGAGTTTCAAGTTCAAGTTCAGGGCTATCTAGTTGTAGTACAGAGTGAATGAATAATCTCTGCTAGTAAAAGTTCTTTCTTTCTTTCATTGCTTCCTCCGTCCGAGATGCAATGCAGCTACCAGCATGCGCTTCCTCGCGTTTTGTAATCTTTTATATAATTTGTTTTGCTGCCGTCGTCCTTATTGTTTGCGTTTCGTTTAATTTCATTCTCTTTTCATTTAAATTATTTCGCTTTTTTTGTTTGTTTGTTTGTTTTCATTTTACTTCTTTCGAGGAGAGTTTATTTATAAACGGCAAGGACGCAAAAGGGCGACACGGTTATTTTCGTTTCGTTTGTGAATGCGTAATTGGAAAGCAATGTCATTATCGTGAAGTCAGGGTTGCTGTTCGTCTGTACGTACGCCCCTGATGAATCGGAACACTCTTTCTTTCGGTCGGCGCGCGGTCTGTTGGTAGCGGAGATTGAGGATTTCGCTTCGAAAATAGCGAAGTTTACTGTAAAACAGGCAACCATCGAAAACCCGGAAGTCTTCGCTGAATATATTCACCTCGGCGACCGCAAGAGTTTAGCGCTTGATCGCACGTTGCTATCTCCAAGCACCGCTCACGCGAATGTATAAATTCGCAGCATCCGAATCACTGGCCCAATCTTATGAATATCAGTTGCTTTAACATGCGCTTTTGCTCTTATTTTATTTTAATTATTTTCTTTGATTTGATTATGGATGGTACTTACAATTGTTGCGGTCGCCTCCGAAGAGCTTATGGAACCTGATGAAGTCGGGTCGTCCACCGAAGTCTGCCCCCTTGGTGATCAGCACCTCCTTGATTAGGTTGAAGTTGTTCACAACGACGCACTTGGAGGTGCCCAGGGTGATGCTGAAGACATCTCCATACACCTTGCTCAAGCTGGTGAAGGCTTGGAAAGGCGTTTCGTGCTCACCTAGCAGATGCAGACTTCCGATCACTGGCCATGGTTTCGGTCCCGGCGGCAGATTGGTGTCCTGTTTGCGCGGTTTCGTGAACCAGTAAACCAATATTAAGGTGAGAAACGCGAGTAATGTAAGCATGTTACACACTGTTCACGCAACACTCACGAATGACAGACTTGTACTGATACCAAACTAAGCTACCCTGTTAATGACGTTCGGCTCTTGTACTTGCTGAGCTAGTCACCGACCAATCACGGACAATCCGCACCCCCCACCCCAGCCATGGGGTAAGCTGTGATTTGCAGATCGATGCAGCCAGTGTTTCGGCCGCCCTCGACACCTTTGCCACGTACCGAATCGTCCACGAATCCAAAAGAATAAAACAAGAAACAACGCACATAGTAAAAATATAAATAATAAGTACAAAATACAACTAACAAATAAAGTTAAAGGACGCAATTAATTCAACCCTTTACACCAATAACCCATATTAACTATAGCAAAAAACAAAGTCAAGAAATATAAAGCGCTTTATTTCTTTTAATACTAATTATTATTATTAACAAAATCCTATACATTATCAATTATTTATTATTGTAATGAGCTAAATATTTATTATTATCATCTTATATTTTTTTTCTCGATTTCTTCACTTTTACTCGTCTCGCTCTTAACTTGCACTCGTTCAAGAACCGGAGCAATTTATCCCAAGCAGTGAAAATGAAATACATACCATACAAGCATGCACACAACACACACACTCACAAATACCGTGAGTGGAGAAGCGTACTTTTATTACGGCTAGTATGTATATGTTTAAATTCTCCATCCTCTTCGGACGCGAAGAAGATCAGAGCCTTTGAGGAACAAACAAGGACCAAACAGAGCACCGAAAACAAACAAAAATAAAATGTAAAAAAATATATAAAAACGAAAATAAACGAGCTGCGGGTACAAAAAGAAGGTACAAAAAGGATAAATGTTGCCGGCAAGGCCCCAAACTGCAACGCCGAAAAGCGTACAAATAAAATGCAAGACTTGTCCTGCGCTCGGCTTCTTGGCCACCAGCCGCGCACTTGGTTCGGATGAAACGCATCTTGAATACAAAACCATTAAATCAGATGCCACCTGGATGGACGTCCTCCCCGAATTCAAGAACTCGCATCCAATATTCATAATTATTATCCTAAAACTATTTATGCGTATCTGCAAAATAAAAGCGCATATATATGTATGTGCGACCTACGCAAATCGTCGTCGTTGCAATTTTCCTCGCAGATCCAATTTTCCCATCGCAGGTTTCCCGTGGCACTTACCGCGAGATTGGACTCCGAGGAAACTTCTTCCTTTTCTTTTTTTTATTTTTTCTTGTTCCTTTCATCATTAAGTTAATTGCTCGGAGCTCGCGAGATTAGAAGCACTTCTCAAAACTAGTAATTCATTCATGTTAATCGATTCAGTTCTTTTGTTCGTTTCATCCTGCGAGATCCAATAGCTTTGCAATCTGCGCTCAAGCTAATATCACTCAAATCAAAGACCACTGGAACCTTGGGAAACTTCAATTGCAACAACAGTGATTTCATATTATAATCAATTTCATTTACTTTATTTATCATTATTTTTCTATTACATCTTAGTTTAATTACGAAAGACGTTAATTAATATAAAGAAACATATAATTTTTTGTTTATATGTCGTTTTATATTATATTGAAGTATAATAATTAAGAACTTGCACGAGATATAGAATAAGAAAAGAAGAGAAAGGAACGAAAGAATTACGCATTTAGATATAATACGCATATATTATTTAGACTTAAATCTTCAAATAATAATTAGATTATTTAAAAAAATATTTAAATTATGAATATTTGTGCTGAACAAATTATGTAATAAATTTGTTAAAAAAAAACTAATATTCAATTTTATAACTTGCATTTTTATTTCAAATCTAATTTTAATTATTCTCATTAATTCGTTTAAAATAAATATTTATAATATTTTGTTCAATTGGTTTGATATAAAATTTATTAAAACGTTTGTGTTTTTTCAAAATGCAAGGATTACAAAAAAGAAAAACATTTAACACATATTCTTCAATTCACGTAAATATGTATCAAACGGTTGAAATGTGTTTAGTTTCAACTTATTGAACAAAGAAATATGTAATTCTATATCGTCGCATTTCTTGCAGAAATATAATGTGATTTTATTTTATTTTATGGAAATTATTAAATCTTTTGTGTTAATAACAAAATAAATTATTAACCATAGCTATAAATAACCTGTTTCAATAATATTTATTATAACAATAATTATTTATTGCTCAAAAGATTATTATTAAGTCCGATGTTTACTACATTGTATTTATTAAGTAACCAATAACATTCATAGTCTACTACATCATGTCTCTTGTTTTTACTTAACAAATTTATGTAGAGAGTTTTATTCTGTAATCAAAGTTACTTACCAATTATCACGTAGTAACGAAATATTACTTTTCCAAAGTAAATATTTAAAACAAATGTCTGTAATTTTAGTCATTTTTATTCTAAATTACTAAAGAAAAACAGCTTTAGTTAAATATAATATAGTTGTAGGCAGCAGTAATTAACGAATGCTGGATTTATTTTTAGAAATATTTTTTTCTGATTTTGGGTTTTCATTCCTTCGAATCGAGTTAATTGAAATTTATTAATAAACTTGAAGATATATACATGTATAACATCCGGTTTATTATTTAATATAAAATTAATAAATAAGTAAAAAAATGTTATTTATATATATATCAATGTATACCTTGAGTAACTTACTAATAATCGTATTTCGATGGGAGGAAATTGAATCATTTAATTAGAATTTATTAATGAACCTGAGTGGATAAGAGTGGACAAAAACGAATACACAAGAAGACAAGAAAAACATTAAAAATGTATTATTGAAAATGTATAATTTTGATTAAAAATAATTATATTTTTTTATTAAAGGATATTAATGACAATGATGTATTTGATTTGAATTTTTTGTTTCTATTTTATTTGAATAAAATATTAAATTAATACCCAGTGTTGATACTTGTTGATAATGTTCTAAATTTTATTGAAAGATTATGATGGAATGATTATAATATTAAAAATGCAAAGAAACAACAGATACATTAACTTTTTGCAGCCATTCGGAAATAGTGGTCGGTCAGTTCTCGGAGGTCAAGGAGAACCCCACCGGGTAACAATTTTCGTGTAATCTACGTTGATGGGGAAATCCATCATATTGACATCAAACTGTGGCCGCGTAACTGTTTATTATTGTTTTGAAAGAAAGGTATTTTAATTGAACTAAAAAAAAAATCGTAAACACAAAGACACAAAGCAAAATAAAAACAGACAGTAAAAGATACACATGCAAAAAAATATACGATTCAAGAAAGATATAACTGTTTTCTCCCTGACTATACATGGGTTAATTAATTCTTGTGGTATTCATAGTATTTTGGGAATTACTCAATGAAACTGTGTGTTTTCAGTGAGAGGACAAACTTCGGAGAGTGGGCGAGAAAGAGCTCGTAACTGTTCACAAATCGTGTTGTTGACAAAATATTATTTTAGGGTTCTCTGCGTTCTCGAATAACAACAACAGAATCGCTGTTTCTTTTCTTTTTGTACACTTTTCACCTGATTTTCAATAATATTGATCATTGTTTTTGTTTTTCGTTCAAAATAATATTTATTCTCGAAACGTAAAAAAAAACAGATACAATTACGTAAATCACAAGTGTAATCAGTTAAATACAACATAATGGCTTTTTTTTCCTTACATAAATTAATGAAATAGTGAGTTTCTTTGGGATACAATAACTGCATTATGAATTTATTTGAAGATCAAAGGTTTATTTGGTTTCGTTCGAAAAAATTGTGAAATAATGGGTTATTTGATTAAATTTCTTAAAATTTTGTCTAAGAAGTGTTTATCATTGTGGGTCATATGAAATCGTTTTCATGTATGTAGATATGTGAAAGAATGCCTTTCCAAGTGCATATATCAATTTACATAACTTCGAGACTAAACAAAACAAGATTACTTACAATGAGTCAAGTATTTACATTTCTCTATTTAAATTTTCATTACTTTACTTTAATTGAACATTTTTTTATTTATTACGTGCAAATTTTAATTAGTTCCATAAAAATTATTACAAATTATTTTAATTTATTCAGTTGTATACTTTTCAATTGCAAATACTAGAATACATTTAGCAGATTTTCGATTTATTTTGTGCAAATTTTATTTCAGATTTTTTTTTTAAATTAATGTTATGATTTTTTCTTCATTTGCTTGCTGTTATTATTGAATATATTTGCCAGTGTTTTGACAGTCTCACGCTGTAATTACTACTGAATGAACGTTGGCAAACAATTCAATGTTTTTGTTTTATGTAATATTGCAGACGTTTGCATAAAAATGGTTTGGAACTACGCGAGTGTGCGTATGTATTTTGGAAAGTTGCTTTTGCAAATTTCGGCCAAGAGAAATTGGGCAAGCCTTGATAGCTTATGATAATATTATAAATGATGATGTCTTTGCTGATAATGATTCTCATGAAGGTTAAATTGGGTAAACCAGCAAGCTAATGATGATGTGTGTATTATTGTGTAGTTCATGATGATTATTCTTATGAAGATCAAATTGGTAAACCAGGTAATTTTTTAATAATGATGATTCTCATGAAGATTAAATTGGAGGAGAATAAATTGGAAAATCCTATCTAGATTATGATAATGATGTATATCATGATGATGAGTCTTACGAAGGTTAAATTATATAAACAGCTTATGATGATTTTTTTTAATGATGATAAAGGTTACATTTGGTAAACTAATGATGATGATTATTTTAATATTGATGATGTTGTTCAAGATGATAATTTTTGGAAAAGGTAAAATTGTAATAATATTATTTATGATGATGATGTTGTTTATAATAATGATAATTCTCATAAAGGTTATTATGGTTCGTCTATGATAACTGTAAATCTTGGTTTAATAATGTGTTTACCTGAACATCTGGTGATCTTTCTCTTTACAAGAGATCAACAATAACAAATTATTGGTGAAGATATAACTGTTTAAATAATACTCTCTT